AGTATATATACAGTATATATAAGTATATATATACCGTATATGTATGGCATATATATACCGTATATATATGGCATGTATGTATGCCGTATATGTATGCCGTATATATATGCCGTATTAATATATGCCGTATATATAAGTATATATATGCCGTATATATACAGTATATTTATGGCATATATATACTGTATATATATGGCATATATATACGGCATATATATATGCCGTATATATACCGTATATATATGGCATGTATATATGCCGTATATATGCATATATGTATGCCGTATATATGCGTATATGTATGCCGTATATATGTATAATTACTCCAGTACAAAAGCAGAGAATGTTGCTCATAGCTTTAAAAGGAAACTCATCAATATCGCTGACAATCACCAACATTAGATTATTAATTTCTGAAAAGCAGTTAGACTTCTAACCAGAAGTAATGTTGCAAAACTAAACAATAGGCTAAGGATTGCATGCAACTTCCTAAAAACTACACATGTACTGTGTTTGCTTTTTTTTTTTTCTTTTGTTGGGTATTTGATAAAGTTCTTGTGTAGCTTAGATGTAGGCTACTGCATAAATGGTAGTATTGTACCACAGTACTCGTATTTATAAGTATCTAAATAAAAGTAATAATCCTTTTTAACTGATATGCCAAATGTTTTAGCAAAAATATGTCCTTAAAGTAATTACAGTAGTACTCAGAATCACATATGCAGAATCATATTTATTATATTATTATTATTACAATAGATCATAATGATAGGCATGCATCTGTATATTTCTTACAGCAGCTAGTAATTTAAATTACTTATTAAGAACATCATCAAATATTAATATTTTTAAATCTTCAAAATAATAAGTAAAGTTTTAAAATAATTGGGTTGGAGAGCAAAATATTAAATTTTCATCCAAATTATAGAAAGTCATATAAATACTTAAAGACTGTACTTAATAAAGTACTTGTGTAAATGTAAAAGTAAGATTGACTGTATTCAAGTCCAAAATACTAAAATTCACTCTTTTAAATGTAGATGCAAAATAAAATAAATAAGCACATGGTAATAGACCTCCTCCAGAGTGAAGAGAAAAAAGCCTTACAATTTAGAGTTTTCGGATTATGCCAACATATCTCATTATCTGAAATTTTAGTCGTGTTTAATGTGAATTTCAACCACTCTGGTACACTCTCTCGTTCTCTGGTCTCAGGAGCTTGCAAAGATCGGACAGGACTTCTGTAACTTTTTTTCAAGACGTTCCACCTGTCATCCGAGAGGACATCTTTTAAGTTTCTTTGCTTTCTTTCCAACCTCCTTAGACGGCCATGACCTGGATGACTGAGAACCTACACAGACGTATCTTGCTCTTTGCTCACACACACACACACAC